AGACGCTACCAATAAACAATCAACAAACTACCGGGTTTCTGGGTTGATTTGCAAGGTACTACATGGCTAAACTATTTTTGACTTAGTGGTTAATTGGTAAAAATCCCACACAAATCATACGACGTCACTAACAACGCCGGGGACGGCAACTCGATTTTGAGATTAATTTTCCGAATAAAGTTATACTAAATAATTTCTAATGACGAACTATTGTCTTCAGTTGTATTTGTTGGTCATTCAACTGTCAATTTACCTATTTTATCGGTGATACTACCATTCTCAATAATCTATAAAACACCCACATATCAACACCCGATCGTTAGATCGATCGGTCAAGGCGCCGTGGTGACGCCGGTAGAGTCAATTTTCGTCGGAAGGTATCAAATTGATAAACAGTTTGGATGGACTCGATTCTTGCTTATGTTAACCACATACTTACCTAAGATTATACTGACACTGGTTTCAAATCACGGTCTTTGATTAAGAGCTTCTTGGTAGGTTTTTTTAGTGTCGTTAAAGGCTGTCTCGTTGGATGATATTTCTGATAGTCTCTTGTTAATACCCTCCCAATTCACCTTCGCGCCCCCCCCCCGCCAGACTCCCATTTCAAGACATCTAGATACGCCACTGACTTTAACAGTGTTAACGGCTATCTTGATTTATATTATATGCAACTATTTGTTTTTAGCGGTATCTGTTGTGTAATGGCGTGTATCTGGTGGTATTTGAATGTGTTCAACCATGAAGCCTCCGTGGTCTAATGGTTATGACGCTCGCCTTGACAGCGAGAGGTCGCAGTTTCGAGTCCCGCCAAAGGCATTTTATTACACAATGTCTTTATTCATTTATTTACAGGACTACGTTCGTTAAGAGCTATGCTACACGATGTATTATTATGTCCTTTATTCGAACACTGTATTTACCTTTCTTTGATGATTTATTATTATTATATATATATATATAATCTTCAAATAAATAGTTGTTTCAACTATAATGTATTTGGTATCTAAACACTTACCCAATGCTTATAAAATGTTTAAAACGCTCTTTAATACAAATAAGTCGTTTTAAAAATGGCGGCCATTTTGAATTTAAAAATGGAGGCCTATGGAGTGAATGAAAAAACTGACACCACATTTCTCTTAATCAGTAGTGTTTTTAGAATTGCCAAGAATTTTTTTTTTTTTTCGTTAAGCGCCGCTCTCGAAGAAGCACCGCAGCGCTTAATCGAGTGTGTGTAATACTACATGCGTAATGAAACAGGGTTTTAAAGTAATTTCACTGTTCCCTGATACAATGTATACAATGTTAAAATGAACAAATAACACAATGAAGAAAAGCATTTCTTTATTTAAACAACAAAAAAAAAATTAAAAGCGCAGCGGCGCTTCTTCGAGCATTTACGGTAGTGAATAATATACTGTTGGATTGGTGGCCAGTAGTACAGTAGTAAGCGAAAAAATGCGCAAACAATCAGAGCTCAGGAAGCGAGCCGACGCTTTGATTCGCGCGAATAAATTCGCTTAGTGGAAAACCAGTTTCAGCCTGTAGTTAACAGAAATTTGTTGGAGCGTCCAACAGTTTGTAGTTGAGTGTTGTTAGAGCATATAATAGCCTGTAGTTTACAGCCTGGTATATTACGCCGACTATAACTTGAGGTAAATACAATAGTTACACCTTGACATTTAGGCTATGAAATTTAATCATTAAATTGTTTCTGATGGATATGTGGGTGTGCTGCCAGGTTTTTGTTTAAATTCGAAAACTCCAAACTCCTGCAAGAACCTGCAAAAGCATATACCGTGGTCGTGAACAGCTGTGTATTGGGACGAATATGCCAATACTGTGTCTGCATATATACAAATACAAGCACAATAGACCAAGCGAGAAGACCTACATCGCGTACAGTCACAATTAATACAAATCGCATCATCACACTCACATATCAACATAATACTTCATTCTGGCCTATCATTCCTTTAACCCGATTTACTCTTATATACCATTATATTGTACACGTTTTGATTGTTCTTTTTTATGTTGTGATTATTATTATAACAGTAAAAAAATAATAGGCCTATTATTATCATAATTGCTATCTCTTGTTTAAATTGTATTTTCTCTTTGTCTCTATCAATCTGTTGCCGTTGCGTCGGCGAAATTATAGTTCCTTGTGTTTTTGGAAATGAAATAATTGAAAACATTATAAAAATTGGATTATACCAAAGTGTCTACATGCCTGCAAGCGGGAAATAGACAAAAAAAGTAGACCTATTACACCTAACACGTAACGTTGTCGATTTAAGAAAAAAAGAAAAAGAACTTCATGTCCACGTCTCATCGTTTAAAAAAAAAATATTTTATGTTTGTGATGACAACGTCTGCTGTTGTTTCAAACAATAAAGCAATTCATGGTTGGAGCTGCGCATGCTCTTAGCCAAGGTCAATTGACATAAACCTATGTTGTGTGTATGGTGTTTATGTCGAATATGCTTGATACTAGCATACACGGTTCTAACTATGAATTGGCTTATTATTAAGGTTGTTCTTTGTTAATTTATGTGGTAGTTTTTAACCAAGCAAGTCGGAGCGGACTTTTTAGTTTCATTTTGTAGCTTACATCTAACCATCTGAGAGCTTCCATGTTTTTATTTTTTTATTTATTTTTTTATTACTCATTTAATATTCTTTCCATCAAACATCTAAAAAATGGCTTAGTAGCCACTTCTAACGAACATTCATAGATCCTCTCCTGTGCCTCGATTACATGGTTAACAGAATCAATAAAAAAAAATATATAATAAACGTAACACCTTTTTTTTTCGATATATGTTTAATGCATCATAAATTGAGTGCTTCTTCAAGTGGTTTCATATTTTTCACAGCACACTGTTTTACTGTTATCGATCTGGGTTTTTTTTTTGTTTTTTTTTTTGCTTTTAACTATACTAATATAATAATTATGACATGTATTACGTCATATGTCTAAAATGCAGTCCTAAGTTGTCAAATTATTCGGGCATATGTCGGTAGGTAAAACTAATTCATCGTCTTTTTCCTTGAAAGAATCCGTGTTTCGACACTAAAAAATGAAAGTAAGAAGAAAAAGAAAACACTGTTAATGCACATAATCATTAGCAAAAATAATTTTGAAGTAAATAATGGATAATATTTATAACGTTTCTTTGTTTTTTTGTTTTCTTTTCATTTTTGGCAGTAATTTCTTTATAAGTTAGTCACCTTGTTTTATATAATAGGTCACAATGTATTTTTTAATCAAACTGCTGGTTTCCGAGTGATAATGTTCTTATTCCCATGCAGACCGACACTTATTATATCGATTACTGTCTGATATGTCTTTTGGCAGGGCAGGATCCAGAAATGTCCAAAAGAGGGTGCCGAATACGGCTGATCGGGACACAGTACCCTAGGGCCGTTTTTCTGTTTCTTTTATTTTTATTTTTATTTTAAAAAGCGGGGTTGGTGGCAGGACGGCGGGGCTAAACTCTCCCTGTTTTCGTCTCGTGTGCAAAAAGCTCAAAGTTGTTCGTTAGGGTTTATCTATAGTGTCATCTGAGCAATTGTTTATTAAAGTATTCATTTTTGGCTTTAAATTTAGGCTGTTTTTTTCAGAAATGAAGTAACATGCGATGAGTTGGCAAAGAAAGCCGGGATGACTTAATAGAATATAATCAGCATCAAAATAGGCTGATGATGATTAAGTTATGATGACGATGTGATGATGATAAAGATGGTACAGTATAATGATTGTTATGATGATAATGATGGTAATGATATGATAATGATGACGATATGATGATGATAATAATATAATGATGATGAGGTGATAATGATGATCGTGATATGATGATAGTGATGACGATGATGACGATATGATGATAATGATGCTATAATGCTGATGAGGTGATAATTATGATGATAATGATGGTATAATGATGAGATGATAATGATTATGATGATGATATGATGATGGTGATTACGATACGATGATGATGATGATAATGATGATGATGACAGTTGTGGTGGTGATGTTGATATGAAGGTGATGATCATGACCATGATTATTTCTTTTTAAATGTTTATCATAAACATGAATATTTGAGCTACTTACAGATTTTTGCAAACTGTCTTTAGAATGTACAGCTTCCTGATGATATTTTTTCATCAACACACTTTAAATCACTGCACGTGTCGAAGCATGTTAGTAAATCTGTTCGCTTCTCCTTCACTTCAGGTAGGTCTATGCTTTCAAAACGCTTTCCTATTTTTCGAAAAGGCAACAATTTTTTACGTGTACCTGTACACACACACACACACACACACACATA